TATTTTCATAGTGCAATATCTGCGTTGCAAAAATAAAATACTTGACATGTGTGAGTTCGTTACAAAAAGAGTGATCGATATCCTATGTGTGTATATATATATATATATATATATATATATATATATATATATATTATAAGTTAGATGCAAAGAGAGGTTAAACATAATAAATTTAGGTACCAAATCCATCGCCATGTAAACACGAGTTGTACGCAAGAAAAAGGTCTCTCAATTAATTCGTGATTTTACGTCGTAAAGATTTAATCATTTTACAAGGCTTTTTAGAAATAACATAAAAAATCACTGTTTACCGCGTACAACTGTTTTCATTTTGTACAAACTATTCCTTTATACTTTAAACATTAATTTTTTATATGGATTAGCAGGAACAGAACAAAAACATAAACTTCTCCTTCGGAAAGACTGAATTTACGAAATGATAGTGCCTGTTTATACAATTCACTTTATACATGATATTGATGAAAATGTGATCCTAAATATAAGGCAGAACCTCTACCATTGCAATCATTTTTATATTTGTTACATCAATCAGACATTCAAAACTATTTGCTCTATGAGCAGTCTGTTTGGAGACTCACAGACTTACTTTAAAAACTTACTAGTTCTCGAGAAGGCAATCAAGCTTTTGTTTAGTGATGTATGTATGCTGCAGCAATTCCTTGAAAAGGCTATTTTTATTTGAAATCTTATTTGAGGTCTATTATATCAGATGAAAATCTAGTATCATACTGCTTGATAGCTTGATCCCGATCTTGCTGAGGTTGAGATAAAACCCGAAACTAACCCACATTTTTATACTACTCTACGGTGATGCTATTGCAATGAATAATAAAAAAATAATAAACGCAAACCAAATTTTTTTTGTATGGTATCAGGATATGGTCTAACAATTAATAAATCTCTAAGTAAAATATTTAATAAAGTTTGTTTTATTATTGGCTATGTAGACTAGTACATATTCCATCTTACAAATATTTTTAATTTTTTATCATTTTTTATTCTTTAAGAACAATTTTTTAATTCTATATCCATTTATTGAAGTCTATCAAATATCTATCAATTAATTTTTATATGCACTTGATCGGAATTCGAATCGAGTACCCCTCTCCTGCGCCACAACTCGCTGCATTCAACGAGTTGTAAATAAGTTTCCAGCATTAAAGGACTGTAGATTGACAATGTCCAAAAACAATGATAATTGATTTATCATGGTGCTAAAAATGATACATAGATTGTATCTTCGCAAGATGAATTTCGTCGATTATCGTTGAACATATTCCAACAATAGGAAAAACGATTTATAATTATAATTTGGGTTTTTCCCATGTCCTAGTGGTTAGACCCATGGACTTCGAATCTATGAGGTTCCAGGTTCGGTACTCGCTTCGAGTAGCCGTGAAAACTTAGGAAAAAACTTTAATACATTGACACTTTTATGAAGAACGCGTTCTAAACATCATTCAGCTGAATGATCCTACCATAAGATATGGATGAATAATATAATTTTCTTTTACTTTCGAAATCATATTCAAATGATTTCTTTCACTATAGGTTTATTGTCGTGATCTTACAATCAACCACACTAGTTACTATCTGATAATGATAATGAAAAATATCTATTCATAAATAAAAATTTATCAATAAAAAAATGATTTGATACTTCTCCTAAACGGTTATTCGGATTTTAATAACTTTTTTTAGAGTTTGTCAACGGTAATGTTTAAGATTTAATGAACGATAAAACTATAGTAATATTGTAGAAATAAATGGCAAAAATTACAAAAAAAAACACTTTTAATTATTTGACATTGAAAACATTTGAATTGCCATCTGCTAGATGACTATTCACTTAAAATTCGAATTTAGCTTAAATTATGAACCTAGATAATATTAGAATATAATATATGAGAAAAATGTAATGTCTGCATTATTATTGCCGAAAAGCAGCTGAAACGTGCCAGAAATTAAAATAATATGAGATACAGTCACAGTGTGTGTTTTTCAGATGATATTATATAATTCAGTTTAATAAATAACGCAACCATTCCAAAATTGCATATACATTATTTTTTTAAATTTGTGCATGTTACATTTTGGTTTACTTTACTAAGTTATTTAACAATACAAAAAATATTTTCCTTATTCAAACAATGATTTAGGATTTTGTTTCATATGTCAAAAATTCATTTGTTTGGCATTGGATATGGACTATTTAGCAAGTTGATCTTACAATAAATCAGATTGAAGAGTGCTAATATGAACTAGATTTTACAAATTAATTCACCTGAGATTTGAACATAAACAATAATGTTTATAAAATTATTAGTAAAAAATGTACTTTAAAAATTATAATTGTCAAAAAGCAATCGCGCAAAATTCTGAAAATTATATACTAAATTATTGAACCAATTGTGTTGTGTGGTAAAATCAAGTGTGATATTGTTCTTTTGCCGCAGATACTAATTTTTTTTTTGAATTTCTTATACTGCTTATAATAAGACCATAAATGAATCACAAAGACAGGACATCAAATAGAGTATTAAAAAGTATAGGATAGGATATTTTAAAAATTGGAACTCTTGAATTGTAGACGTGGAACAGACGTGGGACAACGTCTGTCGGGTCATCTAGTATATATATATGTGTGTATATATGTGTGTGTGTATATAGATGATGCTCAGAAGTTTTACTTCTGTGGTTTTGTCTAAAGCGCAATGTCTTTTTATCTTTGTTTGACGTCGATCAGGGCCGAATTGTGTTGACGTGAAATTCTAAAGCAATACAAAATATATACTACTTCGAATGAAACTAGCATTTTATAATCTTGAGAGCGTACTTTACTTTATTATTATATAAATATTTATCCCACTGAGTCTTTTAAAAATTACAACTTTAGGCATTATCTATAAGCTTGACATTATACTTGATACATACATAAATGAACACAAATAATAAATAGTATAGAAATACGTATATTAAATATTAGCCTCTCGTAAATCAATATGAATTCATGCAAATAATAAGCAATTTAAATGTCGCAAAAATTCGCATAATTATATATATATATATATATATATATATATATATATATATATAAAATCTTATCTACATCACTATAAATGTATTAATAGTTTCAAACAAATTTATCATCACACTATTTATTAGCATCCCGTGGGGTAAGTTATAGTGATTTTTAGAATAGTAAACCAAATCAAAAATGTTAATTTTTGCATATTATTACCTTTCTAAAGTTTGTGAGCATTTTGGCATACCTTAGAAAAATGGATGTGTATGTGTGTGTGTGTAGTATGTATGTATGCATATTCGGATACAGTTTTTCGTCCACGATTTCGAGAGTACAAGTCAACCGATTTAAAAAACATTCGATTTGTGTTAACGGAGAGACGTGATGATTAGTTTTGGCAAAGGTAGGTGAAGCCGTTTCGAAGTCACGGAGAAAAGAGTTCCAAAAGTGGTAATGCAGCTTTTTAAAAAATGGAGAACCCGATTTGATGATTCAAATAACATGTCATTTTTTGACAGACTAAAGTATTCATTAAATTTTTGGGAAAGCAGGTTTTAAATTTGATAAAAAATGTTTAAAAAAATGAGCTATTTGTCGGTCAAAAATCATCATTAGACATACGCACAACAAATTATCAGATATTTTATAGAAATTTTAACATTAAGTACAACTCGTGTTTACATGTCGATTGATTCGGTACCTAAATTTATTATGTTTAACCGTTGACAGCGATGCGGCGTTTACGCGCTTCGATATTTTATCACTAAAACAGCTACGCAACGCGATCAAATCAAAAAAATTCTTAATTTTCAAGATTTTCAAACTTATAATTCCCAAAACACGGTACGGGAAGTTCCACCAATTTGCTTTGATGCAAGATGCCGTGCACTACTAGTTCATTTTTTATTGATAATTATTTTTTATAAAATTTTGTAGATTAATTTATTGACTTGATAATTAATATCTATAGCATATGCTGTATGTTACATATAAATATACATATATGTACATAAATTGTTACATGTACATGTATTACTATAATACAAATTATAATTTAACTAGTGGAGTGTGTGGCATCGTGCCTTAAGGCAAATTGCTGGAATTTCCCGTACCGTAACGAAATGTTCGAGGAATACTGAATGTTTTCAAATAGATTATTATTAATATTGTAACATTGTCTAATATTTATAAGAATTATATAAACTGAATTTCAAAGTTAAAATTATTTGTTTAAGTTATATTAGAACTTTAGTCAGAATAAAAAAAATCTGAATTAGTTTCGATATACAAAAAAAAACTAAAAAAAAAATTAAAATATACAATTTTTTTTCCAAACTCAATTATTTTGTTGAGACAAGCAGAAAGTTCTTTGAATCATTTAAATCGGACGCTTAGTTTTCTCAAAAACTGCCATTTTTTACATATTTAGCTCCGTATCTTCGAAATGGCTGGGCCTGCTTTTGCCAAAAACTAATAAATACTTCTCCCAATCATTACTAATTGAATGTTTTTTTAGATAAATCAAATCGGATACTCCGTTCTCTCAAAAAGTCGATTTCTATTTTTTGCACAGCCAAAACGGCTGGACCTGCCTTCGCCAAAAACTAATCAGCTCTTTTTCCTATCAATAGGAATCGAATGTTTTTTGAAACACTGAAATCGGTTGATCCGTGCGCCCGAAAACGTGACTGGAAATTTGTATCCATACATACATACACATACACACACACATCCATTTTTTCTGAGGTATGCCAAAACGTTCAGAAACCTTCGAAACGCTGAGAAATGTAAAAATTTTCAATTTCGATTTTCGGCTCATTACAATAACTTACCCTACGGAAAGTTAAAAAATATTATTTTACAAATTAAATATTTAATAAATCGTACGAATGCCTTCTTTACAAATAAAACAAACGCATATGAATTTTTCGATATATATGCATGTATATATTACCTTTGCAATCGCGAAAAACAGTTTGCACAAACGCTACCCATAAATTTTCTGGGCCTCCGCGGCCATTGCACCCGTCCGATGATGCAAAATCCGGTTCTGTCGCTGAAACACTTTCACCGCGATCGCTTTCATGCGAAACAGCATTGCGTGTTTCGTGTCGACAGCAAGAGTAACAAAAACAAAAACATATGTACATAACGTATTAATATTTAAAATGGGACTCCTCACGATAATAAATAAACAACGATATAAAAATAATTAGACATCAAAGTGTTCACAGGTGCGAGTCAACTGTCAAGGTCTCATTGTTAGTAAAACCTGAATAAGGCAAAAGGTGATCTAAGCCGTTACCGTTAGTACGCTTACGGCTGCAGTCGATGTCGAAGCATCACAACATTCGAGCGCGTTGTCCACGTTGGGTATCGGCGGCGTTCGCATTTCGCATTGTGTCTCATGGCTTCGACGATAACAATTCACAATGTGACTACGGTGAAATAAACTGTGCTCCTTACTATTATATGTGACTATTATTATCATTTTAACAGTTTTTGACTAAAATTCAGATCATGACAGTATCAGTTAAATTCATCAACGCCGCCGTTAATGTCTATAAAATAGATACATAAATTCAAAATTAATAGAAAGTGGCAGTGAATAACACTCTAACCTCTTAAATAAATATAATTATTTTGTTGTGCGACTATAATGTGTAGTGTCTGAATTGTCATGTGATAATAAAATGCTGTAAACACTGTGACAATCAGATTTAATCACTTGTGTCGATACCATCTAACAGTGTTGGTTAGCAACGGCCGCTTCAAGAAGCGTAATAACGGCTATTAAGAAGGTTTATTTTTCAATGTGTGATAACGACCGCTGTTTGATAAATGATTAACGGTCGTTAACTGATAAGCCCCGTATATAAACGATCGTTGAGGTAATTTACGAGTCGTTATTACAACTACAATCCGTTAGTGAATTCTATTCATATATTTTCTTAATTTTAAATCATGGAAGAATATTTGACTAATTTGACTGAGACCTTATTGCGGCACGATGATCATGACCATGATCATGACCATGACCATGACCACGAAGATGACGGTGATGTGATGCTGGCTAAAGGGGTCGCTATGATAAGCCTTTTTACTTTATCTATGATCTGTGGAATAATACCTATGAAACTTAATAGCTGCTTAAAGTCTAAACAAAATGATAGCAAAGGCAAAAGATGCTCCAAGCAGCATCATGAAGACAGTTTAGAGCGAAGCGCGCCAGATGTAGAACAAAGAAAAATACAGGAGCCGACTACATTCAAGAAACCACGGATTGTTCAACTACTATTAAATTTTGGAGGTGGCGTCTTGATGGCAACAACATTTCTTCATTTACTACCAGAGGTTAAAGAAAATGTTGAAGCTCTTTCTGAAAATGGGCACATTCCGGAATTACCATTCCAATTGGCTGAATTACTTATGTGTTTTGGCTTTTTTATAATGTTTTTGATTGATGAATCAGTGCACGTGTATATACACCGTCGCGAACGTATAAATGCCGCTATGCATCGAGCAGGTGAAGATGAGAAACTTGAAGATATATTTAATCGCAATTTAAGCTTTCGTAAACGCGGAAAAGATAACTCATTCTGTCAACAGAGTACATGCACAAACATTGATCAAAATCTCAATGACAATTGCGGCGAGATTTGCGTTATTTCTGGTAAAAATGACGTAAAGGCACCGCCTAAGCATATTGACAAAGAGGATGCTTTGGTTAAGAATGTAAGAGGATTACTTATTGTTTTAGCATTAAGCGTTCACGAGCTATTTGAAGGATTGGCCGTTGGCTTATCAAGTTCTACTTCTAACGTATATTACTTATTTGGAGCAGTCAGCGCACATAAATTAGTAATCGCCTTTTGCATAGGAATCGAACTTGTGAGTTCGAATTTAAAAACTAAACTAGTAATAGCTTACATTTTCACCTTCGCCGTAGTAAGTCCTCTAGGCATAGGATTGGGGCTGGTGGTAAGCAGCAGCGCAGCGCAAGGATTGCCCACGACCATATTACAAGGTATGGCTTGCGGTACACTGTTATATGTAGTTTTCTTCGAAATTCTTCTACCAAGCGTGCAAGGAAAACATGAACATTCACATTTTGGGGATGCTACTCATAACCATCATCAAACGCCTGCTTATGATTATTATACATCACCCCCACCAAATTATTCTAGTAGTGACAACCTAGATTCTGCAGAATCATCACAATCTCACGAAACTTCAGAGGGAAATAATGAGATATACCGGAGGTATGAGGAAAATATCACAAATCAAGGCGATAAGAAAGAAGAGATGAAAGGAAGAGTTTTTGCATCAGCTCGAGTTCATACAGAAAATGAACACAAACATCATGATCACGATATGAGCGCATGGAGCGATTTCAGCGGATTACTGCAGTATATTGCAGTTTTGATTGGATTTTTGATCATGTTTGGATTGCAATTCGCAACTGGCCATCAACATTCACATGGGGACGGTGGACATGAACACAGTCATACGCACAACGGACATGAACATGAGCACTGATTGGCGAAGAAGGAAAACTAGGAAGGTTGAGACTTAATCAGCTGTGTGATGAGGCCGGAGGACGGTATTTAAGATGACATCAGTATTTTATTTATTATTAATGATATTACTATATGCTATTTGTAGTAGGTATATGCCATTTTGTATTTTAATTTTATGATAGAATTGATTTTTATTCCATAATTAATGATTGTTTATTTAAAACAACATGTATTATAGATGCTTCTAAGTTAAGAATTTGTATAAGTGTTATAACGTAATTTTTTTAAAAAATATATTTATTTAGAAATGAATAAATTTAATTTTAATTGTCTACAATGTACAAAAGAAAAAATGAAAACTTAATAAAATATTTTAAATAAAATTTTTAATAAAATTTGTTTATTACTTAATTTCTTGATTTTAATCCATATTTATTTCAGTCTTAAAGTTTTAACTTTAAACATTAAAAATAGCAAACATTAAAAAAAATTAATAACTTCACTATATTACGCTAAAAATATGTATTATCATGTTATAAAAATATATTTAATGAATTAATATTACGGACATATAAATTATTAACTGAACCGATCATTAATTGGATTTGAAGAATACAGATTTCTTTCTTTCTTGAGTTAAAATTATTTAAAAAAAGTAAATTGATTTCATACAATAAAATTTATTTAATAAAATAAAAGTGAATATAATATTAAAAACTGCGGAGTTTGAAATAACGTTATCGATTTTTCTGCTCGAATATGCACAATAAATATATAAATAGTTTGAAGGTTAAAAGAAGTAGGATCAAGATATAATATGAAATATAATGACTGTGAAATTCACGTATTACAATGTAATATGATAACATTAAAATAACTATGAAGATAATCTTTGGCCAGATTAACTGCTTAAGTATTTATGGCATAAAACTTATAGATCAATTACCTAATATAGATAAACTTAATAAACCTTACCCCAAGGAGACGTTACAAATTCATTATTTTTTTATCATATCATTAGATAAATAATCATAAAAATTAATTAAAATTGTTTAAAAAAATAACATTACATTTCTATATTTACGGTAACAAAAATGAATTAAAAGCATTCAAACTCGTGACATTATTTTCTAAAGCACTATTTATAGAGTTCCAAAATCATAGCAGCAGCTTATAAAAAGTAATTTTTTTGTTAGCAATTAAATATTGTTAAACTACTTGACATCAGGCCGTATGAGAAATCGTATCTGGACCTTCTGATTCAAAACCCATCGATCTAACCACATCTAGTCATCAAAACTTAATTAAAACCACATAAAATATTAATAACCTGTGAAAATATTAATTGATTTATCATAGGTATAGGTAGGTATGTTAAAATCATTGTTATTAAGATTTTTAGAAGTTTGAAATTGTGGAACATTCATCATAAGAATCGTTTATCATCTACTTTTATTGCCAATATATTGCCAAATTACTTTCATTTTTTGCTTATAATACTGAATAATAAAGGTAAGTATAACTTATGTAATAAAATTAGAAACTTTTACAATTCGAAATTTTCCTAGTTTTCAATTTTGCAAAGTGAAACTTTGAAAGCTTGTATCATTAATTTTGAAATATGAGTCTATGAAACGTGAAAATAGACCCAAAATCGGAACACTAATACTTCATTTGACACTTTACATTACTGTAATAATGATAAATAGTAAAACAAACATTTAATTTTTAACAAACATTAAGAAAAACCATTAATTCGCACAATTTTGCAAACATATAACTAAACTTTAATTATTTTCATACATTTCTCGAATTATTCAAGCAATTATTAAAATTATATAATGATTAATAATTATAAGAAAATATTTCCTTGTTCAATAATCTTGAATTCAATTTTATAAAGAATTCTAACATTTAGAATGCACTCGTACATTTCAAACACAATCTGAAACAAACAATTATACAAAGTTGAATGATTTGTTTACTTTTTTCAATTATCTCGTATTAAGTGATGTGTTTACAGTTTCAGATGAAGAATTTATTTTGTTTGCACATTTAGAGATTTAATCCAAGAATGTGGCTTTTGTTATTTTCCAATTAGCTCAAGAATTTTATACCTATCCCAAGAAGTTATGCGCATAATCAAAATAATCTTATTTTGATGTGAATAGTGGAAGCACAAACATTTTATAAAAAGTAATTTGCGTAATAAATTTTTGTTATAACGACGGTTAGTCGTTAACTGAAAGTATACAGTAATTATAAACAACATCCTCGTGAAACAACCAAGTTTAACAAAAATAAAACCACTAACAAAATTTGTTTCAAAATTGGAAATATTTTTTTATATATCTCTACATTTTGAACATTTTTGGCATACCCTAAAAAATTATGTTTGGGTGCGTGTGTATGAGTATGTACATGTGCGTGTGTGTGTGGGCGGATGCAATTTTTCGTCGTCGATTTCGAGATCAACCGATTTAGATGATTCGACTAGTGGTGCATGACATCGTGCCTCAAGGCAAATTGCGGACTTCTCATTCCGAAAATTAACATTTTTAAGAGTTTAAAATTTCTAATACATTTATTCTTGAAATTGTCTTTCATATTTTTTAAGTATTTTTCAAAACAATTGCGCTGCGTAGCTGTTTTAGAGACGAAATATAGAAGCGCGTAAGCGTCCCATCGCAATGTAACTGATAAATATTGGAACGAAACCCACAGAAATGTAAGCAAAGTTGATATTTATAAATCTCTATAAAATATTCTATAATTTTATGTGATTTGATCATTTTTGACCGTCAATTTTTTTACTT